GCGGCGAATCGGAATTTTCTGCGGCTGAATCTCGCAGCTTGTTTGCGACGATCGGTAAAACGTGTCGCCGCGCTGGTCGGATCAGCAGGAATGAAAATCACGCGAGAAAGTACAACCGTGCATGTATTTAGAGGCTGACCATGTGCCGTCCGGTTGTTTCGTTTCCGGCGTTCCTCGAATTCCTCGGAAATCCGAGAGAGCCGGACGATGCTCGGGGAAAATCGGGATTTTCTCGCGGCTAAGTAAAGTTAAACGGAGCTTGATCTCCCGGCGGAGTTTTAATCAGTTGAAAGTAGAATGAGGATCAAGTTTAATTGGAGCCGCAAGACGAAGTACAGCGGAAAATAGAAAACGGCGTGCTTCTCTCGAACGTGCCGTCGAGAAAATTCTGCTCGACGTAGCTCCGCTTCGAGTTCGATCCGACGCTTCGAAAGGTTGCAACAACATTAATGATTTTACGTTCGAGAATACGCGGAGTCGCAGACCGTGTAAGTCCGTGAACAACGCGGCGAGTCTGCATTCGGGCGAGCGATGCGCTCGATCCGGTTCAAAGAGCGTCGAAGATCAAAGTAACGTCGGAGATGCCAGTGCTTGTGCGGCCACTTGCCGGATATCGAGCAGCTCGGGAGAAATTCCTCCGGCTGAAACATACAGGGTGTGCCAAACATGTCTCGCAATCCGAAAGTGGCGGGTTCCTCGGGTCATTCGAAGCAACTTTTTCCTTTACAAAAATTTTCTCCGAGGCACCGTTCACGAGTTATTAACGAAAAACAGTGACCAATAAGAAGCGAGCTCGGCTGGCGCGAGGCGACCGAGCCAATAAGCGGAACTGGGCTTCGTGCGCTGGTTGGTTGGGCCGTCTCGCGTCAGCCGTACTCGATTCTTATTGGTCACTGTTTTTCGTTAATAACTCGTTAACGGTGCCTCGGAGAACATTTTTGTAAAGGAAGAAGCTGCTTCAAATGATCCGAGGAATCCGCCATTTCCGGATTGCGAGATATTTTTGGGACACCCTGTATAGGACGGCGAGAGGTTCGGCCATACTCGTAAGTTGCAATTTACCGACCCAGGGGTCTCGAGATACTAATTTTTGACGTGCCCCGAAGTTGCCGGTCTAAAGAGAACGCGAGTACCCGTGTTCCCGTGGGATAAGCCATCGAACGCTTCTGTTCTTAATTATGCTTCGCTCGCAGGAAAGCTGCTGCATTAACGGCAACTTTCAAAGTCTTGGTTGTAACGTATTGGATTACTTCGCCGGGGCTAGAGCGTCGGCGCATGAACGAAACTGCAGCTACCGTTGAAAAATTCATTGAGAAACTCTCAGCCGCGAATTACGGATTCGTGAAAATGAAATAATTCATGGCGAGCGATACGAGAAACGTAGGAGAGACGCCATTCTTCTTCGTTGACAGCAAATTATAATTTCGATTTCGTGGTAAATGTATAAAAATGAATAAAATTATAAATAATATGATTAAATAAATAAGTTATAAATATAATACAATATAATAAATATAATCTAATTAAATAAATAAAAATTATAAATGTAATATAATATAATAAGTATAAGCTAATTAAATAAATATAGATTATAAATGTAATATAATATAATAAATATAATATAATTAAATAAATATAAATTATAAATTTAATATAATATTATATAATATAATACGTATAATCTAATTAAATGAATATAAATTATAAATGTACTATAATATAATAAATATAATCTAATTAAATAAATATAAATTATAAATGTACTATAATATAATAAATATAATCTAATTAAATAAATATAAATTATTAACATAATATAATATAATAAATATAATCTAATTAAATAAATATAAATTATTAACATAATATAATATAATAAATATAATCTAATTAAATAAATATAAATTATTAACATAATATAATATAATAAATATAATCTAATTAAATATATAAATGTATAAAATAGAATGGGGCAATTAAGTGGATAATTTCGACGACCAGTCGCATCGAGAGAGAACTAAAATTTCTCCGTTTCCTTCATCTCTGCGATCTTTTTGCGGCGCGTGAAAACGAAATGAAACGGTGCCGCAGTTGTCAACGAGACAGGCGGTAGAAAAACGACACGAGAAAGATGAGTTTTAATTCACCTCGACATTACCATTATACTGTACGATCTTGGAGCACGCATTTCACCGATTACATTTCGCGAAACGGTTTCGTCGAATCGCGGCGGTATTTTCCGGGAAATTTTCCGGTCCGCGATGAAACGAGGTCTCCGCAGCAGTTTTCCCGTCGGAGACCGCAATAACGGCTTTTCAGTCGAGCGTCCGAGGAATGCCGGTCGCTTGTGCAAACCTCCCCCCCGGCTTTTGGAAAACGTACGATACCGTGAAACGAACGCCGGAAGGAGTTATGCTCGTTGAGGATCGAGCAACAACCGGTCTGTCGATCGGCGGTTGCGCAACCGAAAGAAGAAGAAGAAGAAGAAGAAGAACAAGAAGCACCGCGCGGCGACTCGCGCGAATTAAATGCCCGCCGACAATAATTCTGAATTAATTACGGTTCGCCGATTCGGATAAAAGAATCGACGGACACCGGTGCGTTTCCATCGGCTTGAACGCGATCCTTCCGAGGAGATAACAGGAGTTTCGCTACGCGTTGCTAAATACCCGCTCGTAAGAAACCGCGGCCGCCGGCCATTTCGCGCGCTTAACCATGAAGAATCGTTATTGCGCCGATGTAGCGTAATTTCGGCCGATCAAAACCGTGCTCCGGAGAAAGTCGCTTTTATTGGCCATTCGTTACGATCCCCGTAGCTTTCGATCATTCCCTAAGTAAGATACTGCGGCGCGCCACCGCGTCAAATGAATTTAATTCTACGCCCGAACGTAATTCTGCCGGTTTTTAGCGCACGTGGTTCAATTCTCGCCCGGCTGAAAATCGTGTTTCGCAAGAAAATCACGAATCCGTGGCAATAATTTACAATAACGTTTCTTTACGGGATCCTGCGCGAGCTTCTATTGCCACTGGGATCATTCTAAGGTTGGTTCAACGGGGTCTTAGAGCTGTTTCGATCCTTTAAAGCGAGGTTTCAGACGAGTATAATAGTAATTTATTTATTCATTTTATTTTATTTATTTAATTAGTACCATCGGGTCAAATGTCCTTTTAATTTTTCTGTAGAAATTCAATATAACAATAATTATAATAATAGTAGTAATGATGATAAGATAATACTAATAATATTAATGACAATAAAATAATATTAATAATATTAATGACAATAAAAAATGGTAGTAATGATAATAAGATAATACTAATAATATTAATGAGGATAATAAAAATAATAATAGCAATGATAACAAGATAATAGTAATAATAGTAATGATAATAAGATAATACTAATAATATTAATGAGAATAATAAAAATAATAATAGCAATGATAACAAGATAATAGTAATAATAGTAATGATAATAAGATAATACTAATAATATTAATGAGAATAATAAAAATAATAATAGCAATGATAATAAGATCATAATAATAATATTAATGAGAATAATTAAAATAATAATAGTAATGATAACAAGATAATACTAATAATATTAATGACAATAAAATAATATTATTAATATTAATGACACTAACAAAAATAATGATAGTAATGATAATAAAATAATAATGAAAATAAAAACAATAAAAATTGCAATATACGAACGAAACATCCCAGATTTATACTACAATTTATAGTACTGTTTCTTATAGGATCGTGCTCGAGCTTTCAATGCGACTAGGATCATTCTAATATTATTTCAACGAGGTTAGATATCCTCCTCTGTTACGCCACTTTTACGGAACCGAATTTAACACTTCACCTGGCAGCTGGCCAATAGACTTTCAAGGTTCCAAGACCTTGAACGTGCGAAGATGTCGATAACTTCGTGTAGTTTTGCCTGAACAAATTCATACAAAAAAACAATCTAAAAATGTCTAAAACCTTGTTTTCAATAATATGATCTAACTTGTCAGATCTAATTAATCGTTGAGCTTATTGTAGACAAAATTTAGAGGGCGAGAAGTTTCAACAGGCTCGAAACAGTGCAACAATGTATCTCCATACTGTTCCAACATTTTGGAAGCCTCCAGAATTTGGTACGTCAACGAGTCACTTCCGCCTCATTCTACTGAAATTACAGTGAACTCTCCTTAATTGAGGCTCAACTTGGAAACAAAAATGGACAGTTAGGGAAGAGGAGGATGCGATTATTCGAGCCTCGCGTCAATTAGGAAGAATTTACTTCCGAGTCCCAAGACTCGTGGTTTATCTTCAATCGTTCAACCGAGACAGCAATTTTATATTTCGATCTTCGGTGTAAAAGATTCTTAGCAAGACTATTCATTGAAAAAAATCTCTACAATAATGTCTCTCTAATTGACACTCAGATTGTCCAGAAAAATGGGTAATTTGGGAAGAGGAGATGCGATTATTCGATCGAGTTCGTTTTCATAGTTACGAATTGTCAAGAAATATAAAAACGAGCTGATCGAATAATCGTGTCTCCACGTTCAACGAACTGCATGAAACGCGCATCCTCTCGAGTCCGATACACGCAATTAATTGGCGTATTTAATTTAACCAAAAAATCCGGCATTCCATAACCAAGAATTCCTGCCAGCAGCCCCGACGAAAAGATCGGCACTGTCATCGAGGTTTCTCGGCATCGAAAGAGAAAGCTCTCGCGGAGCGCGAGGGGTCTTCTGGAAACTGGCGTCCGTAAATTCGGCGCAGCGGGTGCTCGCGGCACCTTGGAAGAGGCGCAACGTCCGACAATTAGCTCGCCCCCACGTCCTCTGTTCGCGGATCGCGGAGCGAGGATGATGCGGCCTGGTAGTGGCAACATCCTTGCCACTACCACCTTGCCCCGGTGTCGTCCTCCCTTCTTCCGACCTCGGTGAAAAGTTTCGCGGTGGTGAAGTTTTCCCGGCCGGCAGTCTGCCACTGGATTCTGGCCAACGCCGATAAGTGAACGTGCGCGTCGCGGAACGTATGCTCGCCGCGATTAGGGCACCCGTTCTCTCTCTTTCTCTCTCTCTCGTCTCCTTGTCCTCCGACGAAGGAAACCGAGGCGAACGGACGACCTGTGCATCCTCTGGCCCGCAATCGATCGGACTCGGGGTTCGGCGGAGCAGTTCGCGTGACGCGAGCTCTTCAAGGATGCACGACCTGTGATCGGGGACCACCCCCAGGGTAGGTGAATAATTTAAGGCCACGCCACCTGGGGGCTGCGAAGGTGCGGCACGCGCTACGCTCGACCTTAAGCCACCCGGCGGCTCCCCTCGCCGCTCGCGGAATTGCTGAAACACGCCTAAGGGTCGCACGTGGTCGGTTTCTAGAGAATTCGGTGACCCTGCGGCCGGAGTTGGGGAGCAGACAGAGGGGTCGTTTTATGTGCGCGAGGGTGGAAACGAGTTTCTGGCTGATTCGGGCTGGAACCGGGCTTTGCGGGGTTCTTTATGGGGCTCTTCTTTATGGGGTCTGCGGCCGTTTCCGACTGTGGAATGTTAGTGGCGAGACTTTTTGTGCGTCTGAGGGTGATAGACGGCTTTTTGGGGGTGGCTTAGAGGACGTCCGAAGGTCGAAGGCAACTGCGGCGGCTTCGTGGGGTTCGCGTGGCCTAAGTGGACTGGGCTTTCTTAGGGTGGTTGGTCGCTGGCTGGTCGATACACCCCGTGGTTCCATGCAATTAAATTCCGTTTAATTCTATGGTGCTTGGCTGCTGTATTTCGGAATTACGAGTATACTCGTCATGGAGAAGCGACGGTTTTTGTCTTATGGCAAATGTATTCGTCTTTAGTATATCCAATTATAATTTGTATAGAGTGTACTTGTGAATTTCGATTTTATTTGATTGTTACAAAAGCAGTTTCGGTTTTCCAAATAGATTAGGAAAATTCCGAAATCACTTTTGCGACAGATCTAAAGTACTGATCTGCACAACAAAGAGGTTAATTTCAATAATTTCAATAATAATTTCAATAAAAGGGTTCTCCAATAAAAAACCACGATCTAAGTCCCTTAGATTTTCAGTCTCCAATTTTCGTTTAGTTATATGAAAAGTTTAATTTATTACTTTACTATTTACGTTTACACATTTATTATATTATATTACATTATATAATATTATAATATACTATATATTATTATTATGTATATTATTATATATATTATTATACACTGCATATTATAATATAATATAATAAATGTAAATGTAAATAGTAATTTATATAATATTATACATTTATTTTATGTATTTGGTTAACTGTACGTAAAATAACATCTAGAATTAATTGTTCTCTAGTTCCGCCAACATGGAATTGTTCAGTTAAGAGAGATTCATTTGGCAGACTCTCCTCAACAATAGTTTCATTCCTCTTTGTTCAACTGTCCATAGAGCTTTATCGTTGCTATGCATTATTTATTAATCGTCGGCTGTGCCGTTTATTACAACGTATCAGTATTCTCTCGATGCGCGTTTTCATGGTAACGAGGTTATAACTCATCCCGAGATTACGATATTAATTGTAGTAATCCTCGAACGAGCAACGTTAATTGCGCAACTGCTACACTGTCTTATCATTAATCAGAATACCATTATGTATATGTTCTAACTTCGACGCGATCTCGCGATCTGTTTTCACTGGCTATTTTTGTCGTACGATAAACAATTGTTTTCTTGATCACTGGCAACGAGCAAAATTGCACAATTAACCGCATTCATCACCGTGACCGACGATCGTCGTTGATTTTTCTTTCGTTTAATGCCACGAAAGATACTTGAAACAATATTCATTCTGTGCAGTCGCTATTTTTTAATCGGTAAGAAAAAATAATGCATATTCGATGGAAAAATGGTTCACGTATATCAAAGTAGTAAAAAGATAAGGTGAAAATATACGTTTTCTTTGCCAGGTATAAATGATCGAATGCAACTTTTATTAGCAATAGCAAACAACAACTA